GAGAATCAAGACTTTAAAAAGTCCCTGGTTACTTCGCTCACTAGACGAAATGTATAGGATAAAAATACTTCCACTTTACATAGGTTTTCCCGATGAGCCCGCCAATTCGTACAGTAGTAGGTTCCGATGCGTAGTAACTTGACTAGGAGTTCTTGTGTAATAAACATCATCATCATTTCAGCCTGTTTGAGTCCACCGCTGAACATAGGCCTCCCCCACAGACAAAAAATATAAAATAAAATAAATAATAATAATATAATAATATAAACTCAAATATTTTCAAGGGAATAAAGTGAGGGGAAGAAATTCCGTCTCTGCGCTTAGGTTTTATTTTGTCTATATTACATTCGGTCTTATTTTGTCTATATTATATTCGCCTTCCTTTTTTATGTGAGAAAGTGGCAAAAGATCTGGCGGTTCACCCGATGTTAAGTTATAACCGCCACCCATGGAAATTTGCAACACCTGTAGAAAACTTGCAAATGTGTTGCCACCTTTAAATAAAGTGAGCACCGGTAACACTTCTACTTTACCCCGGTCTTCTGTATTCTTCGGTCGTGGTACTTACCCGGACCTGCCCAATCGTGCAACAGTGAATACTGTTGCATGGTCCTGCCACAGTTAAATATCCTGCCTCTATTTCACCTAACTGGGGTGGGTAGGAATTGTGAATTATGTGGCTTACGGTGTTGCTTGAGTTTTTACGACGGGTTGCCTGCCTGATGTCAACTCTCGTCGGGGAAAAACACCCTGGTCCAGAACAATTAGCTGTGGGTAACACAAATACTTCTGTTCCATTTGTGAGCATCGGAGCCAATGGCTTAAAGACTTCGCCACCGAGTAATTCGCAGCGTAGCAATAGTCGTTATCAGCGGCCAATATTATAAGTCAACTACTTCTTTTGCACAGTAATAGCTATTGATCTTTAAAACATGATAGCGTGGATACGGGAGTCTTAAAATAAATTTATCAGCGAAAATAAAATTTCGAGCTGGCGTTGATGGAAGATCAGCGAGTGCAAGGCATAAAGATGCCGAAACTGATGGCGCCCCAATATGTGCTGTTGACGAAAATGGTACGCAATAATGTGAATTAAACAAAATTAGATGAATTGATACTTTAGTTTTCAATTACTACTATGTTATATATATATATATATATGTTTAGTTATCAAATAGTTTTATACAAAATGAGTTTTGTACCGTAGAAGTCATTCGATAGGTTCGGTTATATTTGTTCAAAAGCGTGTTTAGCTCTGAATATCTGTTGAAATATGATATATTCCATTAGCCGCTGTGATGAAGCATAAATAAGAGCAGATGACCGTCTTTTTTGACGTTATTTTGATTTGTCGTATTGGTATCCCCCCCCCCCCCATTAAATATCGAAATTTAAAAGATCTCAATTTTTGTACAAAGTTTACCTTAATAAACGGTCAACACGCCTTTATACGTACGAGGTACCAATACGTAATTTAATGAGGGGGAGAAGGTCTTCCTTCCGCCATAACGTTGTAAATACTTTAAATGTTAATTAAATCGCTTCTCATATTGTCTTGTATTGCCGATGCTGTCCCATAAAAGTTTTGTTTCTACATCCTAAGCATTACTTTTAAGTTTGCATGCATAAAGTATATAAATGTCGGGTAAATTGACAAATAGTCAAGGTACACGACATTTATACTGAAAGTTTATGTTACGACATGGTCATTCACAAGGAATATTTACTTTTCAGCTTTGCATAGTTATTATAAGGGTTCCTCTACATCAAAAAAACATCAACAGAAACATCAAAAAATATAGGTACGTGTTAATGTAGAATCTGGAGTCGTAATCGAATACAAATAATATAATTATATATATACAAATATATAAAACAAAATAGAAAAAATTAAAATACAAAACCCGACCTCAGTGCTCCACCATACAGGAAAAAATAACAAACACAATAATAAGCATATGCCACGATATTTGCACGCGTACGCACACGATGTTCACGTAACATATTTTTTTCATGGATAAAAATTTAATCGAATGTTCTCGACGCCGGAATAAAATGAGATGGCTAATGCCAAAGAGGTGGCACGAGAACTTTCACGTGCGCTTAATACCGCGAACGGCGATGCTGCCTGCGTGTGCCGCCATTTCGACGCACACGCGTGTAAACAACGAGTCTACTACGCGACAGCCCCGATTTAGTCATCACTATAAACAGCGCACGTGTTATGACGTCGTAGACGGCGTCTTACGTAAGAAACGGTGTTTCATATTCGCCCACTTTGTGGCGACGCATAAGGAACCACCGCTCGCATCGATGACGTAGTTCAGCGTCCGGTGGGTGTGGTCGCAGGAACTACGGAGTTACATTATATATATACAATCGCGTGATATTTGTTAGTCAGCTTTTGCCGTCACGGTCAAAATTATTTGTTGTCTACTCTGGGAGGGCCACGCAAAATTGCTCGCTGTTGCAGGAATGGGCAGGTTCCTTCGGGTTAATAGAAGACCGGCGTGAAGTGGAAGTGTTACGCTTCTGCGTTTCGTCTGTAAGTTTGGTGGCTTGGGCCCACTTTATTAAAGGGTGGCAGCGCGGCGGTTAGCACTTAACATCAAGTTAATTGCCAGCTCGTTAACCACTGTCTCACATAAGAAAATATTTATTATATACAAGTTGTTAAGCTTTTTAAAATTTAAACAACATATGCTTTCGGTACAAACGTCTCTCCAAGGTGTTTTAAAACGTAGCATTTATTAAATTTAATTTATAGTTCCATTTGTTTAAGATTGCTAATATCTCGTGGTATAAAAGATATCTTTCACTAAGTTGACCTTCTACTACTCTTCAGCGATTATGTACGCATACAGTAAAACGTTACAGACATGAAACAGAGCTGATCATTATTAAAAAAAATCAATTTAATTTTGGTTATAGTTAATTACAAATTGTGCTTGAGAAAACGATCATTATGTCGAAAAACACATAAAACTTAATGCAGGTCAGGTGGATATATATAGCTGTTTTTATTATAAATGTACACGTTATGTTTATCAATTGTTTGCCGCAAATGTCAACAGTGATAAGACATGATACCAAGTAAAGTATAACGATTTCTAAGTATCAATTGACATTATTGGTCATACGAGAGTGGCTAGGACGTTGACTCATCGTTTGGAGTCGCGAGCGCCAATTGTAATGAGAAGTCATAACCTATGTACTCGTGAGATATTTTCTTTTAATAAATTGATGAAATATAATCAGCTGCTTGAGTTAATAAATAACTAAAGAAAACCTTTTCCTAATATGCAAGTAACCCGACCTAATATATCGTGTATAACGAATAGTCACATCGCTAGACGAGATAAAGTTATGATTTCTAAACTTTTGGCAGGTCTTATTAAAACCTAAATACTTAAAATGTCTTATTAAAACCTGGGAAAAATTAAAACCTGAAAATTTTTATGAGGGCATGGGGAGGCCCTCATAAAAATTAATACAACATAATCCTAACTAAATTCTGTTACTATCGATTTGTACAAATTGATAGTAACATAATTTTAATTTCTTACTAACTAGGCAGCGTTTGCGCCGTACCCAACGAGCATCAAACCGAAGTAATTAAACTTTCGCATTTGGTCGGCGAAGAAGCCGGAGCAATGATATCCATGGACAACGGTAATCACTTAAAATGCGAACCACCTGCTCGCTTGCCTTCCTCACATGAAACAGAATGTTAGCGAATAGAACTGCTGTAGGGCCCGGACCACCTAATAGTTCGCAGTTGAACGAATCGCGCGCCTTACAGAAGACCGGTGTGTAGTGGAAGTATAACAATACTTCCGCGTTTCGTCTGGCGAGTGAGGTAGCTGGGGCCCACTTTATTAAAAGGCCACCTTTTAATAAATTCTGCAACCCTACGGGTGTTGCAAATGTCCACGGGCGGCGGTTGTCACTTACCATCAGGTGAACCACCAGCTCGCTTGTTTACTTAGGAACTCGGCGTAATGGTACTTACAAAGAGAGATTAGATACATTTAGTGTTTACATTATAAGAATATCTCGTTTTACACACCTACCTATCATAATTTGTTTCTAATCTTATGTCGGGGTTTGCTGGAAGAAAACCCTTATTAGGGTTAAGCTCGCCTTTCTACATTATTTGTTTTTTGTTTTCTCTTATACTCCGTGTACGATAAAAAAAAGCAAGGAAGAAAGAAAGAAAGTTTCAAATATTAAATAGTGGTCTCAGTGTGACCCATGTATAACAAGTAACTGGTGGCAAATATGGTACTAAAATTATGTGAAAGCTCCCTTGAGCGTAGGATAAGAACAAAAACGAAAATGCTGGTTCGAGTAATAAATTATTATTTTTCTACAAAAGACTAGGAACAATTAAAACGTAAAAATACTTATAATGCTTAAAATTTAAAAGCTGCACAAACAGAAGTAATATCTGCTAATAGCTCAATACTCATTACTATTCAGTACTCATTCATCATTTATTCGAACGAAACTTTGGTTTCAGCTAAACCTTTATCATTCGATTTTCGATTTCGATACAAAACTCCGTAGTGGAGGCAAGGCAAATGCATAATTTATATTGAACAGTAAACTTTAGTACAACTTTTCGAATCAAAATGTTACAAAATTTAAGACTCGTTAAATTCAATAACATAATTCTAAACAAATGCATTCAATTTCGTAACTCAAATTTTTACATTTCGTAACTCAAATGCGCATTTCGCGTATCATTTTGCTGTCCCTAATATAGTTTTAGAACGTAGCCCTTGTTATTTGAACGCATATATCTAATTACACTGGTATGAAAAAAATAATATTAATTTAGCAGTTAGTCTCTAAATTTAAAATCTTTAAGAAATCGAGATATACATCACGTAGTTAGTAGCGGCGACTAATCGATAATATCAATCGAATAGTAAAGAGTTATTAATATAGAATACTGATAGGCGTAAGGTTCATGCAATTGTTTATCCAAAAAATCATCTCGGTGCATATGCCCTTTTGAAGTGTTCGATGACCATTTGAATGACTCTTGGTGAACAAGCCATGCCGGTGGAATAGGTTCTGGAGCAGTTGTATTTTTCAAAGCATCTCTCCCGATCAGATTCCCCGAATCTACAGCAAGAAATGACAGCCGCTTCGCAAATGCTCGGCTGGTCCGAACTCTGGGTTGTTGGTGCCGGAGTTGAAGTCGAAGTCTTCTGCAAAGGTAATCTCACCGTTAACAATGGTCGTCTTAGAAATAGTGATGACATAAAACGAATGTGAATCAAAACTACGAAGTTAATGGTTTTACGAAAAAGTGATAGGTTGCCACGGCGATCAAGAATAAAGGCTACCCAGTATGGAGTTATATTTATTATTTATTTTAAATTCAATTATATAGAAAAGAGACATGTGAAAGCAGTGATTCATAATGAGGAACAGATTTATTTATTTATTATAACATTGTCCGTGTATTGTGTGCATTGATCGGATTGGGTGATTGCCTCTTAAGAAATTAATTATGATATACAAAGTGTATAAAACAAAAGCGAACATTGAAGTTAATGCGTTTGCAATGCAATTGTACAAGCAGCTATGGTCATAATATAGTAGTAATGTTGCCAGTTATAAAAAAAAGTTAGTATTACATATCATTGATAAAGAAATATAACATATGTTATGGTATATACCATTGGTACTGCAACTGGTATATACTATGTACCTGGTATATACCAGTAGCAGAACATTATGTAAAGTGTCCCATAATAAAAATAAGAAAAGTAAGAATATTGTACCTTCACGAGATAATAGAAAGATTCTAAATCAAAAGTTACTTCCTTTTGTCATAGGATCATCATCATGCATTAATCATGCGTATACTGAACGCGCCATTTTAATCATGCTAAAATTACATAATTTGCTGGAAGAAAATACTGTTAGGTGGTATTCCTAAAGTTATAACTTGTAATATAATTATTAGACACTTTTACTAGACGTAATAATAATGTTTAAACCAATAATCTACATTAGTTAGGTTAGGTTAGATTTTCTTAAAGAATATATTTTGTTCGAGTTATTACTGTCTATGGTTTTTCATTACAGCTATATTAGGATTATATTGAAAATAACATATTAAAGACAGATTTATAATTTGAGAACACTATCCTGATACAAAAAGTGTTAATTCTACTACTTAATAGAATTGAACATGCAATAAAAGTACGTTTTCCGAAGAAAGCGCTGTGTTGAGAAATATTGGGTGAAAAATACAATAAGCCATGTGCGAAAGGGTCCAGCAAAATTACTTAAAGTAATTAAAGTAATATTTGGCTGGTTTGTTAGTAAAATTACTTACAAACCCTCCAGTGGGAGTGAATACTTCAGTAAAATAAACGCTAAATCAGGCCTTTACATCTTATAATTCTGCCGATGTAGAAAAAGTCTAATGCTAACATTTCATCGATTTTAATTAAAAACATGACTACTATTGTCACCCTGCATTTTAGGTGGTAAGATCGGCATGTGCGGATTCGTAAAGACGGTGCTGTTTACCACTTCAAGCTAACATCCCTGCCACTAGCCGACTTTATGGTCATATAAATGATTAAATAGACATACCTATGTATTTTTTGGTCTTTGTCAAGAGAAACCACCGGTATTTTAAGTGCTGAATTATCACGTGCTCAGTGGTGAAGGAAAACATCGTGAAACATCGGGAGACCTGCATATTTTCGAAATATAAAAAAAAATATTTCGAACATATGTGAAGTCCGCCAATCCGCAGTGGGGCCGCGTGGTGGACTATGCCCTGATACCCTCTGTACAGAGGAGGCCTTTGCCCAGCCGTGTGACATCTATAGGCTGATACTTTACTATTTCTGGGCAAATTTGAATATTACGATCCACTTATACGTTAGTCTCGTCCCACAATTTTTTACTAAAAAAATATACACTTACTTCGGCTTGGACACTGCCATGTTCAACAGGTGGCGCCGGCAATCCCTGGGGCCGATTTGCATTGACGGGTTTTAGTGAGATGGGCCTGGAACCGTCGTCGTCGTCATCGCCGCCACCATTCGTTACTTCATCCACATTATCACCCCAAATTTGGTTCACATCACTATCAAGGAATCGATTAATGAGATCAATAGAATTTAATGTACCATTTTTGTTCATTTGTGGCTGAACGGGATAAAAGACTGGATAGATCATTATCTGCGGTTGCACGGGCTGTTGATACAAGTCCCTAAGCATTTTCAATTCAAATAGAATTTCTTCCAGAAGCCTAAGGCTTCGGTTACTTTCGCAAGGTCCGAATGATTGATGTCTGTACCCGAAAGGAATTTGACGTGAATGTCTCGTTCTTCGTTCTCTCCCGACATATTCTCTATCTCTTGCCCCGAAGCCAGATTCCGCGTTTCTGTCTTCATCGATAGATAGACTGAACTTGTTCAGGTTCGGTCGAGCACTGGTTTTCTCGAGGAAGGTAAACATTGCAAGTAAAACAGCAAATAACACGACCAGGGTTTTCATCTGTAACAAACAGTATAATTTTCTTTAAAAATATAGGCATAAACATCGTTTTTTCTTACTTTGGTGTTAATACAAATAAGAATTAAATCTGTCCTGAAGATATTTCTTCAAAATTTTCTAAAATAACCCATAGAGTTTGGTCGCGGGGGACGCGGTACCTATACTTGAGCAGATGAATGAGGTACAAAATATTTAAAATTATGCTCAACAGTGGATTATGCAAGGCTTTCATGAGTGATATGATGTAGTAATTACATTGAGTTCGTTTTTTTTCCGAAACATCGGTATTACATTTTAGCATCTTATTCTTATTAAAACTTTAAACAAAATTGCATGAGTACAACTTACCGTGATGCTATTTTGAATAAATATTCGTGATTAAACAAATTTAAACACAGAAAGAAAAACTGTTACTAAAACTTTCAAAACACAAAACTCTTAGTCAAATTTTTTGACGAAATACGCGCGTGCGTTCGTATCGGCGGGAACCGAAAGACTGACTGAGCGCGTTCCGATAATGTCGGCGAATGTCATTGAATAGTTGGTACGATACGAGCATAAATACTGATAAAAAAAATTAGACTTGTTATTCACTACGCGATATAATATATCCTCTATTACGAAACATTAATAACGTTCCACTTTGTTAATACGTTCCCCTTTTTAGAGCCGTCCTGTCGAACAATTCCTCAGGTATCGTAAAGTTTAATTTCGAGCGTCACGGATTATTAAAATAGTGGGGTACAGAAGGATAAAATAACGCTCCGTCAAGTCATAAAATATTATATCTCTCACTGGTAAGCTGACTTTAAGATGAGGGGAAGTTTCCGGCCTACATTTAGATAGGTTTTCCGTTTTTATGTGACGTAACATCTTCACTTCCGCGAAGCGCTTGCTTTTTTATAGTTTGTTGCATTATTTTGCTTTGTCATTATTTAAAAAAAGTTTTAAATATTTATTATGTTGATTTTTACATTTTGCTTGTTTACATTATTTGTTTGATTACGTCTTATTTGCTTGGGCCATCACAATTATGTAATCGCGTATACTTTAATCCAATAGATTTACAGTTTCAAGATGATTTCTTGAAATATCTGTGATGGACAGTAACAGGCTTAGCACACCTCACACGTTTTTTTACTTGTTAGGTCTGAAAGAAGAATATCTTAGTATATCAGTTCTTTTATAAGAAAGCTAGAGTGCAATTAGTTTGTTTTATTTCTGAAAAGAATTGATGCACGTCGAGAATATTCGGTTCGGCCAAATGAAATTTCATGTTTCCAACTTAGAAGATCCCTGGGTTCTGTTTCGTTTATGTGTAGTAAACATTTTATGGCAATGGCGTTTGTTATTATTAGAAATATCTTCAATAAAGTAGCATTAGAATAATTTTCGCCTTAATATATAATTAAATAATTTTCCCTTTCAAATAAGATACTAATAAATTCTTCATAATGAAGATTCCTCTTCTTTTCTTTCTTTAATAAATGGCTTCTCTTGAAAGAATCCTGCCAATATCATGTCAGTCTAATGATTATTTCTTCTGATCTGTCAGAATCAATTAAAAAGCACCGACCACATAATAATAAAATGGACTTAAGATACTTATTGAAAGGGCCATCCTTTATATTATATAATTACAAGACAAAAATGTTTATTAATTTTCTTTAAATATTAATTATATTTATGTATAAGTAGTAATTTATCTTACAAAAATGTAACGCCACTAACATTCGGGCCACTGTTCAAACTTAATAGAGACTTAAAAACAAACAAAAACTAATTAATTAAAACTTTCGTACAAGTGAACTGTGCACCCACAATGGCCCGCTAAGTCTCCCGGTTCATGAATGATTTTTTCTTAATGTTTAACAGCTCGTTTTTACTTAATATAAATTCTCCAAAGCAAAAAAGAAAAATGTAAATAATTCACACAAACAGAATATCTTCATTAAAATGTGCAGATTAATTAGCATTATAAAAAACATAATTTAGAATTTATTTACTTCCGAATTATCGCACTACATTTTTCTCTACACAATAAGCAGGGTTTAGGGAATATAATGGACAAGAATTAGACTAATTTTCCAATCGCTTTTAAAAACTCCGATTTGATGGCATTAATAATGCCTTAGGCCTCAGACTCATCTTTCACGGCTGTTCAACGGCTGTTCAATCGGAACATTTAAGAAGTAAAAAATTAACGTTTAATAATCTAAATTACAATTAGAAATTTAAATTACATTCCGCGTGAAGCGGACATGTAAAAATTGTGTGTTGGCATGATTTCGATTTTAGTAATATTTCATTATATTATCCTATATATGCCCTTAATTCAGATTCAAAATATTTTAAAACTTGAAAATTTGATTAACGATTAACAGAACTTTAAAAATTTGACCAACCGGCTGGTATGCGCTAATTCGAATCCCATTACCTAGTGTTCAAAAAATAAATGAAAATAAATAAAGCAGTAATATATATGTATACATCATTTAAATGCATTTTTGGATATTAATAAATACCGAATTCGTTTTTGTAAAATAATCCATTTTGTTTAATTTTCTACAAATTAAAAGAAGTCGTGTTTAAACTTGAACGTTGGACCCGTTCCATGTTTTTTTTTAATCTAAAAATAGTTAATAGTGTATTATAGATAGTTCTTGCCAAGTTTCATATTGGCCCTAGAAGACGTTTAGGAGCTAGACCAGAATAATTCTGGCAGGCTCGTCCAGGTAAGTATCACGACCTCACAGCAGACCGGCGTGCAGTGGAAGCATAATACTTTCGCGTTTCGTCTGGTGAGTGAGGTAGCCCAATTTTATATAGCAGATATGTATACGGTGTCGAAGAGCAGTATACGGTGTCGAAGAGCCGTGCCCGGTGCCCAGATCGCGTCTGCTGTCAGCTAACGCGAGATTTCAATAACAGCGGGATATTTTGTGTAGCATATACACTTTTTTTTTTTAAATAACAGTAAAACCACAATTCTGTATCGATAAATTATGTATTACATAGTTACTAGTTTTAGAAAAACTTTGTAATGTTCACTGCTACTGTGTTTTATCACAGGACCTTCAGTAGTCGGAATTAAGGCATTTTATTTATTTGTACCTTATATTGTAATTGAGGAGTTAAATCTGGTATTTAGCCTTCTTTCTAAGTCAATTATACAACCACTGGCGTGTCGCAATTGCTTTTTTGAAGCTAATTCTAAACTAGCAAACTAGCATATATTTAAATTGCCACCAAGAAGTTATCACACGTTATTACACACTATTATTTTTATAAAAAAATTAAAAACATCGAAACAGTCCAAATTTATGAAATTATAGTTTGAATACATTTTTTTTTCATATTCAAAAATACATTTAAAAGTTTTATTAAATGAAGAACAAATTTGACTGATATGTAGGTATTTTCATTTATCTTTTTAATAATGGGATAAGTAGATATACTCCGGTTAGTCAGTGTTTTAGACCTCTCTAAATCGTTAACTACATTTAATAATGTAAGAATCTTCTGTATCTGGATACGTAAATGTCCAATAAGAGTAAAATATTTGGCATCTATACGTATTAAGCAAATATACGTAAAAATCAAACATTACTAAAATCGCACCTACTTTCTCTTTTAGGAATTCTTACACGAGAGGTGATGCAATATCTATATAAATTCGGCAATGTCATCGGATTTGTCTGTAAATTTAGTCGAAGCGTTGAAAGTCCATAGTATAACACGCACACAACAGACAAACGTGACCGGACTCAACTTTGAAAACTTAAAATGTTTCTAGAAATTAAAATTTTTTATAGTGCTAATCTGTGCACTCAAGATTGTATATTAAAATTTGTAGAAAAAGTACGAAAAGATAGATTATCGCCGCTGTGGGAATCGAACCCACGACTTCGGCCTTCGCGGCCTGACGCTTTGGCCACTAACCTAAACGGCTGGCCACACCGACGAAAATCTTAACGTCTTTTTTTTTTAATCTACATTTTTTTTTTAGGATTTCGATTCCCACAGCGGCGAAAATCTTTTCGTACTTTTTCTACAAATTTTAATGTTTCTAGAAGTCATTTTCCTAGCTCGTGCTGATCATGACATAGTTCGGAAGAATTCGTTCATCAATGAGATAAATGTTATCAAAGGTTTAAGACTATTTTAATTTATCACGTTCACGGACATTTAATTTACTGATTGACTTGACTTATCATGGTAATTTAATGACATTGTTAGGGTTAATTGATTTTTATGTTGAAAAAATATTGTATTTTCACTCTATTTTGAGGAAAGTGACAAAACATTTAATTTTAAATGTAAAACAAGCAACCTCATATCATATATATCACTAACCACCATGATAGTCTGTAATAGTTTGGGAATTCATGACATGATAGTTTACAGGAAAAATAATTAATATTTTGTTGCCGGTTGTTAATACGTGTTGTGTTATCTGAAATTTATAAAAAACTGTAAATAATACCTGTTATTCGAACCTGCTCTAAAATGCTGTTAACTTTTCTGACAATAGCTCATTAGAATGTAAGCTTCAAAATCAATTGAAAATTTCCTACTAAGTGGGAATAAACGTAAATTTAAAAGCAAACTAACAAGCAATTTTACAATCTAATATTTAAAACTCTCGTGTCAGGTGTTTGTAATTCGCACCGTGCGTAGAATAACGTTCTGTGGTCACATAGAACGAATTTGCTTTTATCGTCGGATAGTCTTAATTATTGTCTACGCTTTCAGATAACATTTTAATTTCTTTCTTCTGACATAGATATTGAGATTCAGAATAGAACAACGTTCTATCTGATTTGTGCTCCGCAGTACAAGGACATATGTACGTTTAGACACTGTTTTTTTTGTACTGACTAGACTAACCTTACTAATGTAATAGACGAGTGTAATATACTTTATTAGAGTCAATTCATAATTATTGCACAGTCACCCACTTTTTATGGATATTTCGTTGAAACAGTGCTACATGCGTTTATGTCATACATATTTTCTGAGTTTTTAGTAGAATAACGTTATAAATGAACGTGTGACTTATTAGTATTTTCCGTAGGAAAACGTCACTATTACAGGTGAAACCTCTTATTTCCTAAAGTAACAGCCTGTATATGTCCCACTGCTGGGCAAAGGCCTCCTCTATACAGAGGGTATTCTATTCTTATTTCCTAAATTTATATAATTATTTATTCAAAAAGTATACTGTTTGTTTATATACCTAATCATATTACAAACCTTAAAAATTGTAATAGCAACTGCCATGTATAAGAAAATAATGACCAATATAAAAAAAATATAATTTGAACGGCCGTCCTGAACAATTACAATTTGGCAGATGTCACGTTGTTCCACGCAGGGTGCGAATTGAACTCCGCCGAAACGGCTCGACCGACTTTTGGGAAATATTGTGTGCATATCGGCCAGATATCGATAATCGGACGACGTCTATTTTCCACCCCTAATTTTTTTTTTCTATCTTTTATATAAAATTGTTTGTTTTTATTTTTTTATGATACAGCATACAAAAATGCAAACCCTCAATTTTCTACACGGACGTAGTCGTGGGCAGCAGCTAGTAGATGTATAAGGAAAGGAAGTAGTGAAGTAAAATATTATTGTAGGAAATACACAGTAAAATTATGCAAGTCATGTGGGCTTGCAAACCATGGATTACATCAGGTGAGCCAACATCTTGTTTCATTAAGTCAGATATCGCCTACAAACAAAAGTTGGGTTGATGAGTTTTATATTCATTAGTAACACGAAAATTAAAAAAATCTTTTCAAAAATTTTTTTCTTTCGCCTTATTCTTCGTTTTTAGAAAACAGGTATAGAAAGAGGTATTTAATACATTGAAAGTTTTATTATAACGCATTATGTAGTTAAATAAATTTTATTTAAATATCACAAAATAAATATCGTGAATACAGTTGTCAGTTCTCACGCAAACCTACGTAATGTCTAGCTAACTTCAGCGTGTCGGTTTTTCGTGACGGTGGACGCGC